AGGGTGTCCTTGAACTCACAGAGATCCATCTGTCTCGGCCTCCTGAGTGCTGGGATTGAAGGTGTGTGCCATCACTGCCCGGTCTCTATGACTAACTAGTGGCTCTCTCCACACTCTGATCTTCAGGCAAGCTTTATTTGTTACGGCACACACAAAATATCACCACATTTCCCCCTTTTTGTCTAAAATAAAAAAGACTATAGCTAATATAAGAAAAACTATAAACAATAACTATATACAATATATACAGGCAATAAACACAACAACAATGTCTAGCCCATTCGCATTTGTCAAGTTCAGAGAATTTGGCTTAGCTCTGAGCTCTGATCTTCAGGCAAGCTTTATTTGTTAGATCACCACAGATTGAGAAGTATCTTTATCCTACTAAGAAAAACAGTGTAGAAACTCACTAAAGAGATTATAACATTTTCTTTTGTTTTTGTGTTTTTTCTCAAGTCAAATAAGTATTAAAAAACAGCTTTTGACTGATAGTAAGAAGACTTAAATTTAAAAAAAAAACTGGGCAGGAAAAACAAAAGTTTCTTTTCTGCTTTATGTCAAGGTCCAGCTGCCCTCCTGGGGTATGAATGGGGCTATACAAAATAGAAATGTTGCCAGGCAGTGGTGGTGTACGCCTTTAATCCCAGCACTCAGGAGGCAGAGGCAGGTGGATTACTGTGAGTTTGAGGCCAGCCTGGTCTACAAGAGCTAGTTCCAGGAGAGGCTCCAAAGCTACAGAGAAACCCTGTCCCCCCAAAAAAACCCACAGACACAAAAAAAGGAAATGTTGTCTCTGAGACATATGTTTTAAAATCCAGTAATTTCATTAAACCCATCCAGGAGCCCAACTCTTACAAAGAAGTGTGTGGCCCCTTCAGAAATCCCGAGTGACCCGTGAAAATATCACACACATTCTTTCACGTGACCTGTGACCTGTTACAGTGTGACTATGAAGTGTCCCCACAGGCTCATGTCCTCAAGTTTGGGTGCAGATGGACTTCTGAAGAGTGATTGGATCCTGAGACCTCTGACCTAAGAGATGAACTGATGCCTTAATGAGTTCATAATACAATGTATTGTTGTAAGGCCTTGGAAAGAAGGAGGTAGGGATTCACTGGAGGAAGTGGGTTGGTGAGGAGTGTGCTCTTAGGTGACTATCTCCTGCCCTGGCCTATTCTATTCCTCTCGCCCCTGCCTCTTGTCTTTCACGAGGGGCCAGCACAAACTCGCCATAGCTCTGCTTTACCCCAAGGCCAGAACTGACAGCTGGCCATGACCATCAGACATCTCTGAAATAAATCAGGAACTAAAACAGATCTTTTCTTTCTTTGAAGTTGTTGATGAGAGGAATACTGTCACAGAAATGAGAAAAGAAGAAAACAGAAAAATCCCAGCATACCTTTCCAGTCTTTCTCAATCAGGAACTGCTGTTGTGCTCTGAGAGAAACAAGCATAAAACCTCTGCAGGTCTCTCAGGGTTCCCTGCTGTGGTCTCCAGGACCCTCCATGTGCGGTCCCTCAGGGTTCCCTGCTGTGGTCTCCAGGACCCTCCATGTGCGGGTCTCTCAGGGTTCCCTGCTGTGGTCTCCAGGACCCTCCAGGTGAGGGCCTCTCAGGGTTTCCATGCTGTGTTCTCCATGGTCCCACCATGATTTCTGGTTCTTTTTGGTTTACTTGAAAGAAAAGCAAGGAAGCAAGCTCATCCAGGGTGAGGGGCTGGAGGTTTGGAGTAGTGGTGGTGTGGGCGTGCCTTTTGCTTGCTAATGGTCCAGTCAGATCCCATGACACTCCTGAAGGCAATGGCTTCTTCCTCCATTGCTCTACAGAAAAGTCTTCTTGTGACTGGGTTAATGTCTATTTTTAATTTACAGGCATGTTGTGGATCTACAGCTGTTCTGTTTTAGCTCCTCAGGGTCTACAGTGTTTAAATGAGCAACACTGCACATTTAGGTTCCGACAGACAGGGCTGGTATATTTTGTCCACTTCTGCTCCAACCTACAGGGCCTCGGGCAGGCAGTGTGGCCTGGTGAGCAATGCTTCGAGAACGGCATAGATGGGAAACTGCACAGTCTGGGGATGTTGGCTTGCCTAGAAAGGTCCTTGGTAGAGCTTTCACAAAGTGCTGCCCTGCTATGGGATCTGAGTTGCAATTGCTGTGCAAGGCTCAGGAGCAGAGACAATGATCAGTGAGAAGCAGGTGACTGTGTGTATTAGTTAATCTTCTGCTGCTATGACAAATGAGATTACCGAAGGAAGGTTTACTCTGACTCATGTTGTGGGTAGGGATAGCATCATCATGGTCAGGAAGACAAGGAAGCCAGAACATGAGGTAGCTGTTCACACTAACTCAGAAGTCCAGATTGAGACTGGACAGGAAGTGGGCAGGGCTAGGAACCCTTGAGACCTCCCACTAGTGACATACATCCTTCAGAGAGGCTCTACCTACAACAGTTTCACAACCTCTCAAAACAGCATCATCAGCTGGGGACCAAGTGTTTAAACACCTGAGCCTGTGGGGAACCATAATGCTCAGCTGAAGAAAAAGGCCTGTATGTATCCACACAAATACTTCCTAGGCCTGCCAGGGCTCCACAGCAAAGGTGACAGGCCATCGGGGGGTTACCTAACAGCCTATACTCTCCTGGCATGACATCCATTCTCCAAGGGAACCAAGCCTCAGGGACTTAGAAGCCTTGGTTCACATTCCTCACTGATTAGAAATCACATCTGACGAAGAACACATGGAAATTGTCTGTATTCTATTCTATGCACACTGTGTTTGCAGGGAGCAGAGAAAGGGACTGCTAATTGGTTATCAGCTTCAGAAGACAGGAACAACTAACTGTGTCTCTGATGAGTGCTTTGCTAGAGAAACTCTGGGACCTAAGATAACATCTCTGGTTTCCTGCTGTGTCTGTGATTTCAATATGTGGATAGTTACCACCATCCTCCCCATTACCATTACCATCACTGTATTAGTCAGGGATATCTAAGGGAACAAAACTAACACACACAGAGACAGACACACACACATACACACAGAGACAGAGACAGACAGGCACACACATACACACAGAGAGACAGACACACACAGAGAGACAGACACACACAGAGAGACAGACACACATATACACACACAGAGACAGACACACACATACACACACACAGAGACAGACACACACATATACACAGAGACAGACATATGCACACACATACACACAGACACACATATACACAGAGACAGACACACACAATCACACAGAGAGACAGACAGACACACACATACACACAGAGAGACAGACACATACATACACACAGAGACAGACAGACACACACATACACACACAGAGACAGACACACACACACATATACACAGAGAAACAGATATACACACATACATACAAAAAGACAGACACACACACAGAGACAGACAGATGGTGACAGAGGTTTCTGTCCTGCCTGGTTCCACAGCTGGTCAGTCCCAAAGAAAACACACAGAGGCCTACATAAATTTTAAACTGGCTGACCTATTTGCTCAGGCTTTCTTATGAATTAACTCTTATATCTTGCATTAACCCATAATTCTTGTCTGTGTTAGCCCATGGCTTGGTACCTTTTATTAGTGAACATTCTTATCTTGCTTCCTCTGCGTCTGGGTGACAACTGCAGACTGAACCTTTCCTCTTCCCAGAATTCTCCTGTTCTGGTCGCCCCGCCTCTACTTCCTACCTGGCTACGGGCCAAGCAGCATTTTACTAAACTAATACAAGTGACAAATCTCTACAGGGTGCAAGTCCCACAGCACTCCCTCCCCCACTTTTTTTCCAAAACAAAAACTCTGAATCTAATCTCCTTTGTTTAGCTTTCTTCCTGACTATTATCCATAACAGCTTGTAACCAACACGGTAAACAAAGAAACATTCATAAACCATTTTTTTGGGAAATAGGCATAGTTTTCCAGGTCTGTCATGGGGCATCCTGTGTGGTAGGTCCATCTCAGCCAGCAATCCTGAAGTCATCCAGGAGCGATATCTTTTTAAATGCTAAGTGAGTGTGGGGGACCAACTCCTGGGTCCTGCCCGTTGGCTCTGCCTAGTCCAACATGGCAGAGGCATGGTTTGCTACCTCTGAGAGCCATGCTCACAGTCCCATTTTCAGGCACACAGAGGTTCTATGTTGCCATTAAGCAAGTTGTAACACTCTTTTCACAAACTCCATTTAAATGCTCTGTAGCCAGACCTCCCAAAAGAGTCAGAACCATTTAATGCTGGCAAACCTGGACGCCGCCATTTTTTTAAAAAGCTGCACAGTTTTTACTGCTAAAGCTGAGTCAGGAACCCTCTGCTTTCTGCCAGCAAACAGAGCAAGAAACTGCAGTAAACTCAGATTGTGTGTGTGTGTCTAGAATTTCTTCTCAAACTCTCTTAGGTTTTAAGTGGATTTAGTTGGTCATGTTGGTGCCAATCTGTAGGTGGAGGCCACTCATTTGTTTCCTGGCTGTTCAAACTCGAAATAATCACACAGGAACTGTATCAATTAAATCACTGCTTGGCCTATTAGCTCTAGCTTCTTTTTTGGCTAGCTCTTACATCTTAAATTAACCAATTTCCATTATTTTATATTTTACCACAGGTTCATGGTCTACTGGCAAGTTTCCAGTGTGTCTGTCTCCTGTGGCAGCTACATGGTGTCTCCCTGACTCCACCTACTCTCTCTCTCTCTCTCTCTCTCTCTCTCTAAATATATCTCTTCTAGCCTGGCTATAGTCTGCTAAGCCATTGGCCAAAAGCAGTTTCCTTATTAACCAATGGCAATAGAACATATTCACAGAATACATCACATCCCACATCAGATAGACAAACACATAAACAGATGCATACCCAGAGACAGACACACACAGACATACAGAGATACACACACACACACACACACACACACAGAGAGAGAGAGAGAGAGAGAGAGAGAGAGAGAGAGAGAGAGAGACAAACACACACAGACAGACAGACAGATACACAGTACACACATACCCTCCCCATGGGAGATTCATTGGAGTGGCTTACATAATATGGTCCACGTAGTCCACCAATGTCTGTCTCATACCAGGGAGGCTAAGAACCCCATAGTTGCTCAGTCCATGAGACTAGATGCCTCAGAAGTCTGGAGTTGGAGGCCTGGAGAATTCCTAGACAGCTTCTGGTCTTCAATCTATATTGGAAGTCCAAAGAATTTGGCTCTAATTCTGGTGAAGGAATGCCTCAACAATGGGATAGACAAATTTGCCAGTAAGGATGAGGGCAAGCAGGTATAAAGCAAAGATTTTTCCCCACATCCTTTTGTCTGGGTGCCACTACAAGGTGACAGCCACACTGAGGGAAGGTCTTCCTACCTCAAACAATTTGATTGAGAAAACCCCTCACAGGAGTGCCCAGTGGCTTGTGTTCTAGCTGATTCCAGATGTGGTCAAGTTGACTGGTCATCACAGTCACTATCGGCAGCACCGTCACCAACTTCACCGTCATTGTCAACATCCTTGGCACAGTGGTGACTGTGGGCACTATCCTAAGTCTCTTTATCATGCTTCAGATGAGTCCCAAAGAACAAACACAAAGAAATTAGTTGGTCTGCCCAAGCTCACCCTGGAATTCAGAACGGACAGTTTGATTCCAGAATTATCATAGAACATTTTTCAACTGTAAGGGATGCTCTCTCAAACTCATATACAGAGAAGGGATCCTCCAAATATCATGGGACTTTCCCACGACTAGTTAAATAGAAACATACTTTTCTGTATTTTTTTCATGAGTTAGAATATGCAGACTATATGGGCAGTGGTGGTGCACACCTTTAATCCCAGTACTCGGGAGGCAGAGGCAGGTGGATCTCTGAGCTTGAAGACAGTCTGAACTGCAAAGATAGTTCAAGGACAGCCAGGGGTACAGAGAGAAACCCTGTCTAAAGATGTGTGTGTGTGTGTGTGTGTGTGTGTGTGTGTGTGTGTGTGCATGGTATTATTAAGGGACTTAGTGCTTTAAACTTATACTGTTCCACTGAAGTAATACTTGGTATTATAATTATAGTCATTCTACAATCCCATAAATCCACAATTTATGACCCTGTCTTCAATTTTCCCTAAGTCAAAGTGTTTTTGCAAGAAGAGGCTGTGGGATAAAAAAGAAGGGATAGAGGCTGGAAAGATGGCTCTGCGGTTAAGAGCACTGTCTGTTCTTCCAGATTCCCAGCACCCATGTGGTGGCTCACCACTGTCTGCAACTCCAGTTACAGGGGATCTGACGCCCTCTTCTGGCCTCCTGGGGCACCACAGTTACACAATGCACAGGCATACATGCAGGCAAAACACCCACAAACATACAACAAAATAAATCTAAAAAGGAAGGACAGTAAGGCTGTCTGAAGTGTCTGTTAATTCCGTTGATTGTTGGTGGTGGATGTTTTCACAGCTCTTGGGTGGCGTGTGAATGAAGCAGCTATGAAAGCTATGTGAGGGGTCTCTAGAGGGCTGTGTCTACTCTTCAGACATAAGTATCCCCCAAGTCCCAGTGATGGTTTTTTCCATGTTAGACCCCCTTCAGCCAGGACTTCCCACCAATGTCTGCTGACCCCTTCATGACCAGACAGTAGTGAGTGAGGAAGGGAACTCTAAGGGCACCTGCACAAGCCTCACGGAGCTCTAGCTTGCCTGGTTGGGAATGCAAGCCGTATTCAAATTAAATTGAAGCAGCTCAACCACCTCCTGTTAGGTGAGCTTCAACTTCTCACCAGGAAAGAAGAAATCGGAAGCAGCAGCCTCCCCTGTATTTTATAGAGTGGGGGTTTCAAGCCGGATGCTCTAAAATTTTGCCCTGTTAGATAAATGAGTTGTCCCTGCCAGAAGCTTTGGCCAAGGACTGAACAAGTCTTCAACAATCCTTGAGAGAATTCCTCTTCTATCATCCAAATGGGAATATTCTCTTAGCTCCCCATTTTAAAAAGAATTTGTTTTTCATTTTGGAGTGTATCTGTCTGTGTGAGTATATGCCACATTTGTATGGATGCCTGTGGAGGCCAGAAGAGGGCACCAGATCCCCAGGAGCTAACGGACATAAATGCTGGGAACCCAACTGGATATATATATATATCACAAGCAGAGGCACATGTATCTCCCAAACTCAGTCCACTCCACCCTTCCTGGAAGCTTTGTTGCAGGCTCCATGCCACTAACCAAGAAATGAAGCACATACTTCTATCTGAACCCAGCCCCACAGCTAGCTGGTCCCAGAGGGGAAAGAAGTAAGTGGAGGAAGGATGTCTGGGGGGAAGGGAGAACAGCCGGTCCCCTTCCCTCGTGAGCCACTCCCCCTGGGGCTGCCGAGGCAGCAGCACCACATGGAACCATCACTGTGAACAGTGTTTGATTTGTGCAGGTTCACACCCCGCCTGTTCTGGGAGAGCTCCTTGGTAACCACACACAAAGGTCCTTTTAATTTTTAATTGAATCCTAAGAGGTCTTTTTTTTTTTTTTCTTCTGGAGGTGCCAGCTTAGAGTAATTATTAGAATCCCCAGCAGGGCTAATCAGAGATTCATAGAAAATAAAGATGGTCCAAGGAACCTTACCCAATAGGCGGCTGTCACTTTCCTCTTCTGGCTTTTCAGATCCAGGGCAGAGGTCACAGTTCTTACCACGCTGAGCTATTAATAGGCGTCTTAAAATCAATCCCTGCCCGGTGAGATAATAGACACTGATTGTATTGCCCGGGTATCTCTTCTTCGAGGGCCAAGACACCGCCCGTTTTCATCAGCTGTTTATCAAAATCAGATTAGTAAAGGAATAATCAGATCAGAACTGTTTACGCCTGCCACAGCCTTGAGTTACAAATGGCTTTCCTGAGTGGCCTGAACCGAACGAACCACCCTGACCTGCAGATGAACCTGCCTTTGTATTCCCTGTACCTTGTTCTGAACCTGTAATTCCCCGAGACCACAAGCATTAAGGCTGCCTGTTGACTGCTGGAGGCAGGTGAGGCCAGGTCCAAGGGGCTGAGGAGGAGATGCCGGGGAGATCCTATCGCGGTGATAAGTCCTAAGTCAGAAATAGGTTGCTCTGAACGCTCCCGAGCAGAAGACAATGGAGCATTTAGTAGGTTCTGGAGTTACATAAGACCACGCTTTCCCAACAAAGAGCGGGCAGGACACCCAGCCAAAGGGCTGAGCGCAGGAGGCGGTGTGGGCTGGTGGTTCTAGGGAGAGATGTGGGGGCCAGAACTTCCTGGGTTCAGCTACCAGCCGAGAGTCTGACTCAGGGGGAAGCTCAGCCAAGTCTCTTGGCTCGAGGCAGAGACTGTAAAGCCAAGGAGACAAAACCACAGGTCTGTGCTTGGGGACTGGGGAAAACACATTTTGGGAATTAAAGAAAAAAAAAAGACCACTCTGTTAAGTTACAATTTGGGAGTTTTTCCTGCTTATTGACTGGCGTCCTCCTCTGGGCTGGTGCCGTTCCAGGCCAGTGTCTGAGGGTGTTCTGTGGAAGATGATGGGAAGCCCTGGGGTCTGAGGAAAGGCAGTCAACCTCGGTGTGCTGTCTGAGTGCCCAGGGAGCCAGACCAGGGGCCAGGAGCTCCAGCGTGAATTCTCCCCTTCTGTTCATCTTCCCTTCACAGTAAAAGCCCTCTGGACCTGTGTGAGGAAAAGTTCCTTCCTTTTCCATCTCTGGAAGTCCCCTTCCATAGATCTGAGTGAGGTGTCACTTAGCTACAGCCAGCAGCCTCTTCAGCGCAGGCTGACGGCGCAGCCAAGGCTAATGGAAAATAGTTTCGGGGGCCCAGCAGCTCTGGGGCTCTGTCAAAATCTTGGTCAGACAGAGTAGGTGGCTACCTACACTGATGGGTTTGAAGCAGTTGGCCAGGTGTCTACTCCCTGGCATTTGCGATTCAGATCAGATCAGAAAACTTTGCTGGCCTAGTACCGGGTGGCTTGCATTTATGGGAATCTCTATTCTAGCCACTAACATTTGAGTTCATAATACCTCAACAGAAGCTCAGAGTAAGGGGAGGCAGGTTTACTGTGGTGTGTGTGTGTGTGTTCGTGCCTGTGTGCTGTGTGTGTGATCTCCGGAAGATTTCAGAAAGCCGTTTTCCCCAGAGTTGTCTAGAGCAGCTTTGAAACGGGGTGGTAGGTTGGAAGGTTTGTTCCAGGGTCACTGCTCTTGCTCTAACCCAAGCCAGGCCGGACAGAACCCAGGTTTTTCTGTGGTTCCCTCATGCAGCTCCCAAATATGCCCCATGTCAACTCCTCTACCTTTTCTTCCTCTGGTCAAACTCAGTGTTTGAAATCCTAAGCTTCCCGTATTAAAATGAAGGAAGCCATTTCCTCTTTGAAAACTATTTCACATCGTTATGCCATTTTGCTACAGTCGAAACCAAACATTACTGCAAGATGGAAGCTACGGGAAGGGAAGCTGTGTGAGAAGACAGCCTCTTGGGTGAGCGTATACAGATCAGGCCCTGAGTGGACTTAACCTAAACTACCTCAGCCACGTCCTTTCCCATCAGGTCTTTCTGAAGGTGACAGTTCACGCCCCTTGCCTCACCCACGTCAGGTCTGCCTCGGCCACCAACAGACTCATGCATAGGAAGATGGAGGAAAGAACTTGGTGGGTTGTGTAGGATTACAGTCATCTCTGGTCACAGTGCTCAGCCCTTGAGTCAGCCTCTCTCTGGAAGCCCACACGATAGGACAGAGACAACACCGGTGGCGTTTCTGGGCAGAAAAGTCTAGAAGGAAGTTCAAGAGAGTAAAAGAAGCATCTCACCTGTTTCCAGGTCCAGGGCCTCAGGAGGCTCCTCCCCTCTTATTCTGCAGTCTCCTACTTGGGTGTGAAGGACCAGATCGCCGTGCACAGACAAGACGCCAGGCCTGCTCTGCCACCACAGACACAGAGGATGGTCCCACCAAAACTTGAGTCCCATTATCTTTGCATTTGGGGTGCTGACATGACCTCTGCTTTCCCCAACAGTAATGTGATTGTGTGTCACAATCCCCTGGGTTAAGAATCCTTCTGCTGCTCGTCCCCAACAGAAACAACTGCCTTTGAGCTCCCAGGCTTTTACAGGGATCACTACACATGTATAAATATTTGCTGGGAAAGACAGAATGAATGCATCGTTGTCTCAGAGCAGTTTGACTTTGCTTACACTTTGAATTTTTAAAAATGCATGGTAATATATGTCTAATATTTTACAACGACTAGCTTATGTCCAAGTTACGCCTGTAGTCAGATGTGGGCAATAGGCCCATGGCCATGAAAAGTAACATAGGCTACGCCGACCAGCCACAGAGGGAAGAAAGCGTGTACTGACGTTTCTTGGGTCGGTGATATTTCCTCTCACATCCTCCATGACGCTGGAAGGTAGTTTGATTTTTCCATAATTTACATACTAAAGCCGAATGGCTTGTCCCAGTGTCAAAGCAATAAGTGGTGGTCAGACTTCTAACCCTGGGACCTTAACACTGAGGAATGCATGCAGCCAGGAGTACATTGGTACTTATCTCTTGCTCTTTGTGTTTTTAGAGGCTTTCCTACGTAAACAAAAAGAGGCAGCACGCAAAGAATAAAGGACTCTTCCCTTGCCTGAGAGTTGGCAAGAGGAGGGCCTTGATCTGGATCTGAGCGGAGGAGGCCACCATATAGCTACATATTTACAATTGTGGAATACGAGGAGTGAGTATCTTGTTTTTAGGCCCGTCAGCTTTCTTTGACATTGATTGATAGACATTAGGGATCAGCCTTCCAGGCACCTCTCAAAAGATTCCCTCCAGCTTGTGCTCTACGTGGGGACCAATCGCAACCTTGACCTCTGCCCTAATGAGAAGTGCAAAGCACAGATCGCCGGAGACTAAACCAGCACCACCACCGTCAAGCTGGTTCTTGTCTGTTACCAACACTGGTTTGTTTGGGTTTTTTTTTCATTCTTTTAATTTTTTCTGAATTATATTTTTTAAGTTAGCATAGACAGTAATGTGTTTCATCATGACCTTTAAAAATACATATTTTGTTTTGATTCACACCGATCCCACCATGGTCGTTGCCATGTCCCACACCACTGTCCCCGCTTTCCTCTTCCCAGTCCCTCCTCTACCCCAGAGCCTCTCTTCCCTTCCAAGTTAAGGCCTTCCATCACCCCTATCCCCCCCCCCCCTGCCTCATTAAGGTCTCTTCTTTCAGAAAATTATCCATTTCTCCTTTGATATGTTTGTTCTTCCTTCATTTTGTATTTTGGTTTCTGTGAGACAGTCTTACTCTTGGCACTCACTGGTCTAGCTTGGTTTCAGGCTGAGGCAGTCTTCCTCAGCCTCCCAAGGGCTGGCATTAAAGTCATGAGTCTCCACGCTTGGCATCAGCCCTTTTATTTGAAGGAGAAAGTGGCTGAATATGGGATTTTCTAACATTTATTTTTTTAAATTCATTTTACATTCCAACCAAGGGTCTCCCTCCCACCCTTGCTTCCCTCCCAGCCCATCCCCCATCCACTCTTTCCCAACAGGTAAGGCCTCCTGCGGGGAGTCTGCACAGTTTGGCATATTAATTAGGGACAGGGTCAAGCCCCTCCCCTCTGCATTAAGTCTCAGTATGTCATCCCCCCCACATAGGGAATAGGCTCTCACAAGCTGGCTCTTGAACCAGGGATAGATCCTGGTCCTACTGCCAGAGGCCCCTCAGACAGCCCAAGCTTCAAAACTAAACAAGAGAGCATAACCACAGAAAAACAGCTTTAAAAAAAGAAGAAATTGTTCTCTTGGTACACGGGAGAGGCAAGGGGGTACAAAAAATGGCTGTTTGCAGAAATACGCTTATCAACGCTTGATCTTTCATAGTGTTCAAGCATACCACTCTAATAAAAATTAAAAAGTTGTTTATTATTATTGCTGTTTAAAAAAAAATCTCTCCTTCCTCCATTACAGTCCTTTTTGAACTTTATTGAGCTACACACACACACACACACACACACACACACACACAGACAGTATTAAATTTTCTGGACCTGCCTTATTTCGCTTAATACAATGATCTCCAGTTTCTAAGCCAGGTCTCCGAAGCAAACACAATTTCACACACACCAGCTCACACGTCTTATGTGGTCACTATAAAACACACTCAACACCATGTCTTTGTGGATTATGAACAGTTTATTAATAAAGGAAACACATGCACCCCCCTTTAAAAACAAACGTATAGAAACACTTCATCATCTACTCTTGGTTTGCTCAAGGCCAGGGAAAGAAACCGCAGCACCAAACACACAGAGCCATGGTTCAGAAAGGGACAGTGCTCGTGTGAGATAGGAAAATTAGAAGACGTGAACTCACTTTGGAGGCTTCACCACCAAGCATCTGGCCGTCACACAGACAGAGCTTACACTGCACTGCTAAGCACATTGTGGGTTTTTAACGAGAAGAAAATCCAGTGGTGTGTTTACACAAATGCGACCGAGAAGCAAGAAGTCAGAGACGGTTGCCAGCGAGTACCAGGACCCAGTTCACACCTGCAAATGATGGACAGCTTTCAAGTCCATTTCTGATTGTCTTTCGGGAACCGCTCCACAACTGTCCCCTGATACCTGCCCCCCGAGAGCTTTGATCCAGTCTCTACAACAATCTCATTCATGTACCGTATACTGCACGTAGAAGGAAGCAGAAGAGAATCAGGAGATCACGTTGGACATGAGTGGAAAACATGTACAGAATGACATTTGCTGCGGAACACACTGGAAGGCACTCAGAAGAGGACATCTAAACTCTCCATCCAAAGGAGGAATGGAGGCCGCTACTCGACTACCGTTTCTAGGGCTTTGGAGTAGCTACTGTTCAGGCACGGCTCCAAGGTGCAGCCTACACCAATTTGGACGGAGCTTGGGAGCTACAGATGATGGTCACAAGAAGACACAGATCCCAGATCCGTTGAGTGGGCTCAGTGACAGCCCGTACATTCAGGCTGTCGTATTCCTATTCCAAGTACTGCCAAGTCCTGGCCATTTCTCTTCTTTGCAAAATCTTGATTCATTTCATTCTCCTGAAGGAGGCTTGTGGAGGGGGCTGTGCAAGCCTTGCTGTTTTAGGTTTGGAAGGCACAGTCACCATCCTGGCTCCTTGACAGATCTGAAGTGTAACATTTTGCTAAGTGAGAAGCTGTGTGCCTGCTCCTTCTCTGTTGCCCTTCCTGCAGCTTCAATATTTGCAAAACAATGTCAAAATACTGCAAATCCAGCCCAAAGCCATTTGTTATTCAAGCAATGCAATCCTTACACTGTACTAGTGTGCCTTAGCAAGGGAATCCATTCATTTGGTTTTGCTCCTTCTATGCACTTACAATGTTCCCCCCTCTTGGGGAGTTAAGAATAATTTGATCATATCATAGCAAAATTCCCATTCTATGCAGACAAAATATTATAAGCTTAAACCATGCCTACTCCTGACTGTGTTAGAAAAGGAGAAACCTGCAGGGTAAAACTATTCTACCCTTTAAAATGCCCTGTGAGTCGTTTGTAAAGTATAGAACAACCTAACTGTGTAGGGATCTTAATTTTCTCATTAAAAACAAACAAATGAACAAACAAACAAGCGCCCTGTTGGTTTGCTGGTCGAAGCTGTGAGAGGTGCCCTGTGTGCCCCGTGCACAGAAGCGGACATGACTACAGCCTCACTCTGAAAGGACAGCCTGTGAGATCCAAGATCCCCAATCATTTTACTATTTCTATAGAAAACTACCACAAATCAATGTGAATTTGGTTATTCCTTATATGTGCGTAGGTGCAACCGTGTGTGTGATACATGTGGAGGCCAGAGGTCAGCTGTCCACTTCGGTTTCTTTGTTTTTGTTTCTTGAGACAAACTCTCTTACCAGGGACCCAGAATTCAATTGTTAAATGAAAGCTGACTGGTCCAGGAGTCCCAGTGATCTACCTGTCTCTACCTCCCTGGTCCCAGGATTACAAGCGCATGTCACTAGGCCTGGCCTTTTTAGCTGGATTCTAAGGACCAAGTTCTTACTGGGGTGGCGAGCACTTGGCAAACCAAGCTGTCTCCCCAGCCAGAGTTGGTTATTCTTAACAAAGAAGGAAGGTTTTTCAGGTTAGTATCTGGAGAGTTCGTGTTGTGCTGATGTAATGTTGAGATCAGACCTCTGGTGGGATTTTACCCACTGTCCTCTCGGGTGGGCCTTCCTGACCTGAGCCAGCAGGCGAGAAGGGCAGACTCAAAGCAAGTCAGACCACAAGGAGTGTTCCCTGGAGTAAACTACAGTGCCAATCCTCCAGCTGACTAGGCGAACGCTTTCCTTTAGGTGGGATGTGTGTGTCACACAGGACTGACTCCATTGTCACTGTCATGGAACTCTCCACTGACTCTCAAGGGCAAAGGAGGACGTATGTTCCCTTTAAGGCAAATGTTCTGACTAGCAAAGTATATGAACAAGCAAGCTGGAGAGCAAACTTGGCTGCAGCATGGCCCAGAACGTCTACTTTTCAAAACAGAGACTAAGAGAGACATTCGTGGTGGTCTTTCCACGACGTGGGGCTGCCAGGTGAGCACCTTCCTCAATATTCTTCTGAAATTAATAGTGACGACAGCCCAGCAAAGCCCATCCCAACCAAGTGCCTGTGTCTTAAGTCTACTGAAACTAAATTGACCCCCTCACCATGGACATATCACCGAATAATGACTTTGAGACGTTTGTGTCGAGGTTCACTGCAAAAGTCAGCATTAGGAAGGCCATGCTTATGAGAGCGCTCACCAGTGCTACCCAATCACCATCAAAGGTGCTTGGTTGTCAAGGGAGACGCTTTCCAACACATCACCACTGTGCTAATAGTGTGCTTCCTATGACAAATGCTCTTGCTTTTTTCTCCAAGAGCGCTGTAAATCACAAGTTCTTTTCTGCAGGGGTCGGCTTCCAGCAAAGTGGATCTTCAGACGTCTTTCCTTGTGGCAATCATTTTTCTTAACACCAACAGCGCTGCCCAAGTGCAGCCGGGGCTCAGTAAACAGACTTCTGAGCACAGTTATAATGAACAATTAGCGGGAAATTAGTCTTAATGGTTTGTTTTAGATGATAGACTAGAGGCATAATATAATTATTTTTAAACTTTCTACATCGTTAAGAATGCAACGGAGCCACCTTTCAATTAGGTGAAGTGGACAATCATGGAGGCCGCAGACAGTCACGGAGGGAGGCTGCAGATGATGGTCACGGAGGCTGCGGCCCACTCATGGAGCAGAGCTCAGGCAGCCAGAAGGCTGCGCCCAGCCCAGGTGTTTATAATTTACTCAGCCTTCCGGCTCTACTAGGTTTGGGTTTTGTAAAGCTATTTCAACCCTTAAGGGCGTCTCTGCTGTGAAAAATAAAAGCATTCAGCACAGAGATTCGTCTCCCCCCAGACCTCTACCATTCTCGGAGACACCACATGAATAATGGCAGGTGGTAGAAGGAAGTAGAAGAATCTGCAGTCTAGGAAGCGGCCTTGGACGCCAGTTCACACCTCACACTGGACGGACAGGAAAGGAGGCAACGTGAGTCACGGAGGAAAGAGTAAGGAGTAAGCCCCAGGATGCAGCACGCGATCCGTCACTCAGTCCTCCTGTACCAATCCTTTCCCTTTCAGGGATTGTCAAATCAATTTCAATCTTGTTTCTCATAAAAAACTTTTTTAAAAAATAAGTTTTTTTTTAAAAAAAAATATTTACATGTGTTTGCATGTGTGTGGGGTACCCCATGCCCATGGCACTGGAGATACAGGGAGGTGTGAGCCACCCAACTTGGGTTCCGAAACTGACCTTGAACTCAGGGCCTCCGCAGGAGGACGTGTGGGCTGTTTTTCCACCCAGTCCTCACAAGAATTTTTAAAAATGTACCAATAGAGATCTAAAAAAACATTCTTTCGTTTTCTGAAAAAAATCTAAAAATATTCCCTTAGAGAACGAATAAGCATTTGTTTTCAAAAGTTTGCCTTTAGAAAATTGCATTTTTTTTTTCACCTTGGCTAGTCAGGGTTCCGTTTCCGCCTCTACCCCGAGCCAAGCTCTTAGGCCTTTTGTGGTTGAGCATCAGAAGCCATCAGGGAGCGCAGCCTAACACCCACATAAAAGACCTGGTACCTGTGTTTCCACATCACAAAGCAAGCCAGCAAGCACACAAGGCCACAGAGCGGGTTGAGGACCATCTGGAGGATTAAGAACAGTTTGAAAGTGCCGGTGATGCTGGTGCAGTCGGCCACGTCCCGGTACACAAAGGTCCTGCTGAGTGGCTCCGAGGAAGGCAGTTTGCACAGGCAAGAATCCAGAGAGCTCTCACAGGTAAACCGGGCAAGCAGGGAGCAGTGGTGGGCAGCGAATGCCACCGCCAGCGTGCAGACCACCAGCCCCAGGGCGCTCAGCAGGAAGTAGAGTACCTGAAACAGAGAGAGAGAGCTTCCTGTTACAGAGCAGAGGGGCAGAACACAAAGCAGACTAGCCCACGCTGTTTGGCTGAGTTCTCTGAGACAGGGGTCATTCTCTTCTCAAGCCATAATACCAAGACACGGCTATACTTCACGCTGATTAGCTAGATGACTGATTTCGGCAGCAGGGTCTCAGATACCCCAGGCTGACCCTGAACTTGCTCCATAGCTGTAGCTGAGGACTGGCTTGATTGCCCAATCCTCCTGCCTCCAGTGTTCAAGTGTTGGCATCATAGATGCACGCCACCGTGGCCAGCTTCAGAGTTATTTACTGGGAAATCACTCTTAAACCGTTTGTCATACCACTGTTGGCTCTTCCCATGACCTGCAATGGCCACTTAGCTTGACTGGAATGTTTATGTCTAGATTTAGCAGGTAACATAAATGAATCCCAAACAAGTCCTCTCTCCCACATGACACATGACACCTATTCTTTAAATTGAGAAAGGCCAGTAATAGGACGGAAATGGGATTCAAAAGCAAAAGACAGGATTCTGTACTACGAGCTCCATGTTGGTCAAAACTATTGCACACTGATCAGCTGACAATAACGGTTAAGGGAACACAGAATGCAACTGTTGTAGCGGCTATCACACTACAGCCATGATGGTCAAGATCCCTAAGCAAGTGGCCTCTGGGCAGAAACATGAACGGTGGAGACAGGAGGCAGGTGACCTGGCCTATACATTAGCTCTGGGGTTGAGTGTGCTGGCTAAGTCCTAACTCTGCTCGGAAGGGATTTTAGGCTCTTCTTAAGCGTCTCTGATTTAGTTTACCCACATCTGGAACACTGTGACCGAAAGTCCTGGGTTCTCCCTGACACAGCCACAATAAATTTCACTGTAATGGCACAAGAGATGCTCTTGTGCCTGGACTCCCACACCAGACTCAGCTTTCTTAGTGGTCGCCCTGTGCGGGGTCCAGACAAAGACCAGTTCCACAAACTTTGGGACTAGTGTCTACAGTTTGAAAGGCAAGATTTATGCTTCCATAGAGGAAAAAAAAGTTACCCCTTACTGGGAGCAATTCTGGTGTTTGACCAAGGCCAGCCTTAAAGCCTCCTCCCCTCAAGCGCTGGGATTTCAGGCAGGTACCACCATGCCTGGCTAAAACATCGTGTATCTTAGAAACATAACAGGAACAATTTGTATTTGACATGATTATTTTTCCTCGGAGGGAAAGAATCAGATAAATGCAGAGTGGCATCATTATAAAATTTAGAAAGGATTTATTTAATTTGTGATATTAAAAGGAGTGCTTTGGTGCTGTCCCCAGAACACTCGGTGACAATATTTTATGTAGACTTGGAGTGTTTAGACGCTAAAATGTGGGTTTATTGTGTGAGACTAACAGCATGGAACATTAAAAAATATTGTGAATTATTCTGAAATCTTTGGACTTGGTGATCGAGTTTAGATTCCTGGCATGAGAGCCAGTTTTTGCTGGTCACGTGTGACCGCTAGCAGGAGGAACCCCTGTTAAAAGTGACCATTTCCCTCTGGGTAGCCATCTGCTTAGTAGAACAGCCCCAGATTGAATTGCGGCCACACATTTCTGGTTTTGGCCACCAGCAGCTAGATCCTGCAGTGGCTCCTCTCCCCACCACATACCCCGCCATGTGCACATGTCCACAATCACACCCAGATGCACACACGTCCTTAAACAGTAGATATTTAGAACCCTTACTACGAGGAAAGTCCATTTGTTGACAATAGGACCTTTGTCTACTTTAAAGAAAACAGGGCTGGCAAGATGGCTTCGTGGGTAGGGGCTCCTGCCACCAAGTCTGATGACCCGAGTTCCATACCTGGGACCCACACGGTGGGAGAGGTGAGCCAATGCCCTGCAAGATGCACCCTGGCCTGTATGCACACATCATAGCATAGAGACACAGAAGATAAATAAGTAAGATACAGTTTTAAAATGTTTAAATGACACATTTTGGCTCAGATAGTTATTTGCCAAAGACCATTTAACAAGGACACAACAGTGAAGGACACGAACCAGCAGGCCAGGCCAGGCAAGGCCACCTAATGAAGGTTTCACTCCTGATCGCTACCTAGGGGACTCGTCTGCTGGACATATTAACCGGCATCTCTTTACCTGCACATGTGGAAGGCTGCTTCTAACCTGACTTCCTGCTATCACTATGAGGACTAAGAGTCAACCTCTCCAGAGGGCACAGGAGTTAAACCAGCGGAGAAGGAAGGCTGTCATTTCCAGGAATCGGCTCTACTTTCTGCCTTGCTTTCCGTCGAGTGGGCGGAACAATGCGGATTGGCTTGCAGACGGGGTAAACACTGACCACAAACACAGAGGTTGCTTAATTGTAATCTAGCTCCTTAATAGACAGAACCCAGCAGCTCAGGGACAGGGGCCGAGAAGTGCCACATCCCTTAACAAAGTGACATACATAGGCACCGAGCATACATAGCTCCGAGTCAGGAGAACTTCTTGTCTCTTGGGTCACAGCTGGGCTGTCAGGATGCTGGTGACATCTGCAAGGCCCCTTCCTGACAGCAACAGGCTCCTGCCTTGAAATCCACACTTTAAAGCCAGGCGCCTTGCTTTGCCCACACGGCAAACGGGGATCAATGAAGGCAGGTGTGTGGAGTGACCTTGGGATGTGGCGGCCGACTGTGTGGGTGTCCCTGCAGAACATCCCTTGAGGCCAGCTCTGTGCTTATGTAATCCCCAGGCTTGCTCCTGCCTTGCTGTGATTGGAACCTGCTGAGGCTGTCCCAGTTGGTGGCACTGGGGGAGGGGAGGGGAGTCTGCTTGGATTTAATGATCTCCCCTCTGGCCAGAATGGTAAGGCCTCTTTTGCCTGGGAAGAGTCTGCCACCAAACAGCCCAAGGAACCGCAACCAAGGTGTCTGCAGGCCCTTGATCTTCAAGGGTTCAGCAAAGGCAGGAAAGCACCCCAGAGGGAAGGTGGGAGGGTCCACACTCAGTGACCTTCCAGGTCCAAAGGCAGAGTCCAAGAAAAAAGAGGGGAAATGCTGGTGGTCTCCTGGTCTAAGAGCAGCGAAGTGTGTATATGCATGTATGTGTCCGTGCATGTGTGTGTGCATGTGTATGTGTGTGTCTTTTTACATGTTTGTGTACATGTGAGTTGTGTGAGAGTGTGTTTGTATGTGTGAGTGTGTGTTTGTGAGTGTGTGTTTGGTGTGGGAAGTCCTGACTATGTGTTGCTTTTATTGGTTAATGAATAAAGAACTGCTTTGGGTCTATAGCAGGGAAGAGCAGAACCAGGTGGGGACAACTAAACTGAATTCTGGGAGAAAGAAGGCAGAGTCAAGAAGCCATGAAGCCGCTGGGGAGGGGGGGACAGACGTGCTGAACCTTGCCGGTAAGCCACGGCCATGTGGCAATACACAGATTAAGAGAAATGTGTTAATTTAAGATATAAAAGAGTTAGCAAGAAATACAATATATAGTTTCTGTGTGGCTATTTCGGATCTAGGTGGCCAGGAACAAATGAACAGGCTCCAAAAACATGTGTTTATGTGTCTGAGTGTGTATGTGAGTGTGTGTTGTGTGTGTGTGTGAATGTGCTTGTATGTGTGAGTGAATGTGTGTTTGTGTGTGTAAGTGAATGTATGTGTGAGTGCATGTATTTGTATGTGTGTGTGTTTATGTGTATGTGTATGTGTTTGTATGTATAAGTGAGTGTGTGTGAGCACTGCGCATGTGTGAGTTTGTACCAGAAGACTCCATCACTGCAGCATGGTGGTCTGGCCATTCTACCAGGGCACCCATTAAGAGAAAATAAACTAAAAGTTTAGCTCAGAGATAGAGGGTGAATGCAGCCATGCAGTGACAGACCCCTCCTGAAGACCCATTTCGTTCCCCCTAAGATGACATGGGAAGTACAGGGACATCAACTGTGTCCTGATGGGGACTGGACGAAGCTGTTTTAGGACTGAAGATGCCACAGAGAGAATCTTAGATTGCCGAGGGCAGCAGCCTGGCTGAAGGGCCGCCTGGCTGTGTGTCTGTCATGGTGTGAAAGGAGAGAGATAATGAGGTCTTCCCATGGGGTCTGCAGCCTGCCTGACAGCGCCAGCTACTCTCTTTCTTTCCCACCACCCCATCTTTTGTAAGGTACAGATGTTGACGCCCGCTAGGGGGACTCACTGAAAATGAGGCTTTTCCCCTGCTTTTTCAGGAATCATGAAGGGACTGAGGAAGCCAAGGTGCTCTCTTCTTCTTACCACTTTGCCTTGCTGTTTGGCCAGCATCAGCAAAAAACAGCCTGAACTGGTGTCTGCTCTCTCTTGCCTTCTTAAAAAAATTCCTCCTATCAGAAAAGTTCATTTCAGGGCTGGAGAGAGGGTTCAGGGGTTGAGAACACTGCCAGTCCTCCCGAGGACCCAGGTTCAGTTCCCAGAACCCACATGATGAGTCACATCCATCCTTCAAATGAGCACATTGCTTCTTACACCCCCATCTTTGAGTATATGACATTTTCCCTCTCCTCCTCCTTTTGAGACGGGATTCCGTGTAGCTCAGCTGGTCTCCAACTCGGTATACGGCTGAGGCCGGCCTTGGGCTTCCGATCCCCGTTTCTACTTCATGAATGGAGAGATCACAGTCCTGTGCTTCATTTATTCGGTGCTGGGAGTCAAATCTAGGGTTTTACCCACACTAAGCAAGCGCTGTACCAACCAAGCTACGTCCCCACTAACACATCCTATCTTGTATCTTTGTGGTTTTTAAATGACATTGTTGACTTATTCTTGGGTTTCATGCTTCCCGATTGTAGCGAAGAACATGGCCAGGAGAAAAGTCAATGGCAGATGGACAAGAGAAACATACAGAGCGGTCTCCATCCTTGGCGGTGGCACAGAGTGGAACCCACCAGCCAGGCTGCTCAGGTTGCTCTACGCTCCTCCCCTCTGACGGAAGTGTTTAAGTATAATCTGCTGTATACTTCAAGAGACTGCAACCAAATACGCTTTCCACTACAGGCAAAAAGTTCACAGCAACGAAAGACAGACAGCTGCCAAGCCATCAGGCGGTGCATGCACACAGTCTCGCAGTTTCCCACAAACTCTTGGCAGGACCCACTGACGTCACCCAACTCCCTTTCTGTCTCAGGGCTTCCATCGACGAGGGGAAATACACTCAGATTGCTATATTATTGAAATATTCCATCCAAATAGCCCCAAGATATGGCAGTGGACACTCAGAGAGAGACTTTTCCCTGCCCAAGGTTTTCCTTGAGCTGGTGACTGTTCAATACTCCTTTTAGGAGCATTGAAGTTCCCACTTCACGTGCTCTGGGAACGACCTAACTCATGGAAATTAGGTAAAAGGACTAATTACCTCTGTGTCTGGGCCAATATCCTTCTAAAACGCATTTGGGCTGCCTGAAAGTGAAGTTTCTAGACTCACCAGACATGTAACACTGAAAAACACTCTTTCATTTTGACTCACGTTTCTTCCTATGTAATGATTCTGAAAAAAGGAGAAACAACTTACTTTCATAGAAAACTGGACACATGTCCTCTCATCAACTTGGTATGAGACACAGAGCATGAACAGTCCAAGGTAGGCCACCACGCAGACCTGCGTCAGGGAACACAGCACACAGAACATTAGTGGAGTATGCATGTCAGGACTCCCACAACTCTGAGGTCGGGGTCCTTCCCCCAGGATCATTAACATTGCCACGCCCTTCACTTCACTTTATTTATGTGCTACGAGTTTTCACCCAACTTGTGAAACACAAATAAAGATGTAGTTTTACTATTTTGAATCAGGTACGTGTTTGTGTTTCCATGTGTGGGCATGTATACATGAATGCAGTGTCCTCAGAGGCCAGAAGAGGGCGTCAGACCCCTCAGAGCTGGCATTGTGGGCAGTTGTAAGTTATCTGACGTGGGTGCTGGGAACTGAACTAGGGTGGGTCCTCTGCCTGAGTTGTCTGCAAGGTTTTGTTTGTTTGTTTTTGTTTTTCAAGACAGGGTTTCTCTGTGTAACAGCCCTAGCTTCCTGGAACTAGCTCTTGAAGACCAGACTGGCCTTGAGCTCACAGAGATCTCTGCCTTCCGAGTGCTGGGATTTAAGACATGTGCCACCACTGCCCAAATTCACTTTTAAACGTGGAACCATCATCCAGCCCAGTGAAACATGGTTTTAAAATAGCAAAGACATTATTTCAATTTATCCAGTATTTATTAAGTTCCTCTGTATTTGGTACTTTAGAAGATAGTTCAGAAATTGAAGAAGACAACTGAAAATGGAAAGATCTCCCATGCTTTTGGGTAGGTAGAATTAACATAGTAAAAATGTCAATCTTACCTAAAACAATCTACAGATTCAATGCAATGCCCAGCAAAATCCCAGCAAATTCCACACTTTTCTCGAAAGAACAATATTTAACTTCATGTGGAAAACCAAAAAAACCCAGGAGAGCCAAAAACAATCCTGTACAACAAAAGAACTTCTGGAAGCATCACAATCCCTGACTTCAAACTCTACTACAGAGCTACTGAAAACAGCCTGGTACTAGCATAAGAACAGACAGGAGGACCAATGGAATCAAATCGAAGACTCGGATATAAATTCACACACCTGCAAAGACCTGATGTCTTATAAAGAAACCAAATATAAAATGGAAACAAAGCATAATCAAGAAACGGTGCTGGCATAACTGGATATAAACATGTGGAAGAATGCAAATGAATACATATCTATTGCCATGCATAAAACTCAAGTCCAAATGGATCAAAGACCTCAACATAAAATCAACCACACTGAACCATATAGAAGAGAAAGTGGGAAGTATACTAGAACGCATTGGCACAGGAGACCATTTCCTAACTATAACTCCAGTAGCACAGACACTGAGAGCAACAATTAATAAATGGGACCTCCTGAAACTGAAAAGCTTCTGTAAAGCAAAGGACATGGTCAACAAGACAAAACGACAGCCTACAGAATGGGAAAAGATCTTCACCAACCCCACATTGGACAGAGGACTGATCTCCAAGACACACAAAGAACTCAAAAAACTTGACATCAAAAGAACAAATAATCTAATAAAAACATGGGGTACAGATCTAAACACAGAACTCTCAACAGAGAACTCTCATAGAGCTGAAAGACACTTAAGGAAATATTCAACATCCTTAGCCATCAGAGAAATGCAAATCAAAACAACTCTGAGATTCCATTTTACACCTGTAAGATTGGCCAAGATCAAAAACACTGATGACAACTTAGGCTGGAGAGGTTGTGGGGTAAAGGAAACACTCCTGCATTGCTGGTGGGAGCGGAAGCTGGTACATCCCCTTTGGATGTCAGTGTGGCAATTTCTCAGAAAATCAGGAAACAACCTATCTCAAGACCCAGAAATACTACTCTTGGGTATATACCTAAAAGGCACTCAATCAAATCACAAGGACAAGTGCTCAACTATGTTCATAGCAGTATTATTTGTAATAGCCAGAACCTAGAAACAACCTAGATGCCCCTCAACTAAAGAATGGATAAGAAAAATGTGGTAATTTATACAATGGAGTACCACACAGCAGAAAAAAAATAATGACCTCTTGAAATTTGCAGGCAAATAGATGAATCTAGAAAAAAACATATTGAGTGAGGTAATTCAGACCCAAAAAGACAAATATACTATGTACTCACTCATAAGTGGCTTTTAGACATTTTTTTAAAAAAAACAGCCTACATGCCACAAACTCAAAGAACCTAGACAACAAAGAGGACCCTAAGAGAGACATACATGGATCTACATAGAAAGGTGAAAAAGACAAGATCTCCTGAGTGAATTGGGAGCATGGGGTTCATGAGAAAGGTAGAAGGAGAGAGGGGAAGAAGGGAGGGGAGTGGATAAAAATGTATAGCTCATTAAAAACAATAAAAAGAAACATAACCTATAAAAAAAGAAAAAAGAAATTACTTCTAGGATCTCAGCTCAACAAAAAATAAAAGATAGTTCAAAGCATTGACAATGATAAATCGAATTTAATCTGCTTGATTAGTGTATATCCGGTAGAGTCCAAAATCAACTCACACACACACACTCTAAGGCAGAACATTTTCTGTTCCATGCCATTCAGAGAATTATAAAAGTTCAAAGAAATCTAAAAGGAAAATATAGAAGGCTCCCCTTAAAATTTGGGCTTGAAAAGGTCTAATAATAATGCAGCCATAGCGGCTGTCTAAGGCCTTCTGGTCTTTCTTCATGACATCATCGCAGTACTCTGTCAGGTGGGTACTGGGAAGATGAGGGGAGCCAAGAACCACACTGCAGGCCTGGGGCACACAGCAGGCAGCCGGGCTGAAGGCAGACACAGGAGCCACAGCCCAGTGATGGGACAGAGCAGAGCATCCTAGCATAACAGACAGAGACCCACGGCAGAACCAACAAAATGTAGCATGGAAAGGCAGGGTGGAGATACAGGACACAGGGGTGATGAGGAAGTGGCTCGGCTCTCCAGCAGGGAAGGGGCGTGGCTTCAGATACATTTCAGGAAGATGGGCAGGGATGCTTACTGATACAATGAGGATCCTGAGATGCTTTCAGCAATCTGAGCAAGACTGGTCATTAGCGGGGTGTGGTGACCCCATGCCTGTTATCTCAGCACTCTGGAGGTGAGGCAAGGGGACCACTGTAAGCTCCAGGTGACATCCTAGAGAGGCACACCATTGGAACTGCAAGCATGCTGGACTGAAGAGATGTGAACGGAAAACAAAGATGTGGAGGGCAGTTCTGCAGCACAGGACATGCAGGTGCTGGCGGGGGAGATGAGAGGCTGTGCAATTCATGCTTCCAAGTCAGGAGCAAGTCCTTTTGAAAGCACTTTTTAAATTTATTATTATTATTTTACTTTTTGATTTGTCAAGACAGGGTTTCTCTGTGTAGTGTTAGAGCCTGTCCTGGAACTCACTCTGTAGACCAGGCTAGTCTCAAACTCACAGAGGTCCATCTGCCTCTGCTTCCTGAGTGCTGGGATTAAAGGCATGCACCTCCACCATCCAGCAAAATTTATTGATTTATCAGCATGTAAAAGAATACACAACAACAGATCTTATCATGACATTTTCATACACACATATAATAAATCTTAGTCACATTCATCTGTTGGCCAAGGTTTCTGTCCCGCCTGGTTCCCGCAGCCATAAAGTTCCACAGAAACACAAAGAAGTCTACATTAATCACAAACTGGTTGGCCTAGTAGCTCAGGCTTCTTACTAACTCTTATAACTTATATTAGCCCATTATTCTTGTCTGTATTAGCCATGTAGTTTGGTATCTTTTTTGTGGTGAGGCAGTCACAGCTTGATTGCTCTGTGTCTGGGTGATGACTGCAGACTAAAACTTCCCTCTTCCCAGAATTCTCGCTGCCCCACCTCTACTTCCTGCCTGGTCGCCCTGCCTATACTTCCTGCCTGGCTACTGGCCAATGAGTGTTTATTGAAAATACAAGTGACAGGGTACAGACCATTGTCCCACAACATTCATCCACTCCACTCACGGCCCCCTCCCATCCCAATGACCCCGTTTCTCATTGCAACCACCCTCTACTTCATTTTCACATCTTTAAGTACATTTTTAAGCGTTCCAGTACAGCACAAGCTTAACAAGGTTGTAGGGGTTCACTACCTACCCTCACATGGAGGATCTGCAGAATTAAACCAAAGGAACCTTGTTTTGCTTTGTTTTCATCAGCAGCAAGCCAGGCAGAATGTTCCAGATTCGCTCCTGTCACATCCTGAAGTACATGCCTGGGCTTTCTCCTTAGTTTCTGCCAACAGGATTGAGATTTCTCTCACATAATTGTCTTGGTCCCTGGAGGATGCTGGGCTGAAATCACAATTGCCCAGCTCTCCCTCCTTGTCATGAGACACGTACCTTCTAAGGAGCAAGACAGACTGACCAGCACCTTAAACGGCATCACAGACCCTCCACATCAAAGAGCCCCTCCTGTGTCACCTTCACTAGGCCTGAGCTCCAGTAAGACGCTGCCTAGCATAGTCATGCCTGGCCACATCAACAGCACACCACCCATCTACTGACGTCATGGCTACGTGGCCTATACTGTTCTAGCACTCTGGGAACTGAGGGACGAAAACCACAGTCTCACTCCAGACGTACCCAGCGATAGAGTCAAGTTGTAATACAATGGAGGCGTGAACAGCATGCTAGCCATGCAAATGTACAGATGGGGTAACTGACCTCATGGAGGGTGGGGAAAGCTCCCTGGAGGGAGATGGATGCTGATATGTTTGTCATGTACCTATATGAGGCAGTTAAAATTGTAGGAACTACTGGCCCAGCTAGAGAGTCTAGTGAAAATAGAAAACCGTCCAAGTTACCCACTTTGTGCAGAAAGTACCTCAAATATACTTCTTTTAACTTTGGTACATTGTGTCATACTGTTCTAGTGATTGAACAAACTCGACATATGCTAATAAGTTAGTTTGTATAAGCTGAGAGTGGGGTGTTCTTACCCACAACCTTGCATGGACTAAGAATTTTTTCCTTTTGTTGGTAGTGTGTACAAGGATGTTCTACAAATATTTTTATTGAATACTTCAAGCTA